GGCATCACTGTGTGTGTGTGTGTGTGTGTGTGTGTGTGTGTGTGTGTGTGTGTGTGTCTGTGCACACGTGGGGGCTGGAAGTCAGCATCACTGTGTGTGCTCACTTGGGGGCTGGAGGTCGGTGTCTGTGTGTGTGTGTGTGTGTGTGTGTGTGTGTGTGTCTGTGCATACGTGGGGGCTGGAGGTCAGCATCACTGTGTGTGCTCACGTGGGGCCAGAGGTCGGCATTACTGTGCATACATGGAGGCTGGAGGTCGGCATCACTTTCCACTTTATTTTGTGAGACAGGGTCTCACACATACCGGGACCTGGGCTCACTGGTTTAGGCCAGGCTGCATACACATCAAGACTGCAGGAGCCCTGTCTCAAACAGACCTCCCTCACTGGGACTGCAGGTGTAGCTGCTGTGCCCAACTCTTGGCACCGGAGTCCAAACTGAGGTCCTCGTGTTTGTGTAGCAAGCACTTTACCAGTTGAGATTTATTTTTCAACCCCAAAGTTTAACTTTTGTGAATGCTTCAAAATACCTGATACCCCCCAACCAGCACTAGATGAAAGCAGGTGTGGTAGCACATGCCAGAATCCAGTCTTCTAATGGTGGAGGCAGGGGAATCAGGAGTGAGTATGAGGCTCGTGAGCCTGGGCAACATGAGTCTCAACTGCAGCACTGCAGGGAACCAGAGACTAACAAGGCAATGATTTGGTTACCGTGAGGGTGTTCTGTAGAGGTTGTTGGTTCCACAGTTAATTTGGAGTCATTATTTCTAAAAGTTGCTCAGTGAAGTATCAGCATACTTGGGAAGACTTTTCAGGATCCAGAGATGGCAGTGTCCTATTCCCTTAGATGTCTGCTCCCGGTTCTAGCAGTACCCCATCCAGTTAACCTACAGACCACAGAGAAAACAGAAAATTCAGACTTTATTTTATATTCATAAATAGACTCTTAGCATAGTTTTTCTAAAAATAATTTATACATACACTGGTATTTGGGCACTTTTTAAGGATATATTTTTTTCTTTTTTGAGATAGAGTCTCATCGTATAGCTCTGGCTGCCTTGAACTCACTGCGTAGACCAGGGTGGTCTCAAACTCAGAGAACTGCCTCCCTCCCAAGTCCTGGGACTAAAGACGTGAGCCACCACATCCAGTTTAAGGGTAGGTTTTAAGGAAACCAGTTACCAGGTAGCAAATTTGTTCTTTCACAGGTTTGATTTATTGTTGGCTCTGTCATATGATCAAACATCCCAGCATGGAAGGAAATGCAGAGACCAACAGGTATTGTTACAGAGACCAGGAAATCCTCACGGGTGCTTTCTGTCATAAAATTGAGTGGTTGAGGGAGGAACTGTTTTCCTTGTGAGGATAAAAATGACAGAAATAGTTCAAAGACTTGAGTTTGTAACAGGCAGGAAGTAGTTATTCATAGTTTTTCATCAGAACGGTTTCCAGTTTGTTTAATCAGAAGGCTTCGAAAGGAGTTTCTAGGACCTAACTCAGATTCCATCATCAAATTTAAGGCAGTTTTCCTACAAGTCAGAGATAGGAGATCCCCTTTGATTGTTTTACTATTCCCTTTACTAAAGGAAATGCTGTCTCACTTCAGCTTTAAGTTCTTAATGACCAGATGGCACCTGGCATCAAAATAGAGCTCCTCCACTCTCCCTGCTGTTTTGTTATCCATCCATCTTAGTTAGGGTTTCTACTGCTGTGATAAGACACCTAGGAGGAAAGTCTTTCAGCTTACATATCCCAACCACAGGCCTTCACGAGGGGACATCGGGAACTGGAGCAGAAGCCATGGAAGAGTTGCTGGCTGACTGGCTCGGCCTGCTTTCTTATTCAGTTCAGGGCCACCTGCCCAGGAGTGGCGCCATCCACAATGAGATGGGCCTGCCCACATTAATCACTAAATAAGAAAATGCCACAGGGATGGAGGGATGGCTGAGTGGTTAAGAGCACTGACTGTTCTTCTGGAGAACCTGGGTTCAGTTCCCAGTCCCAGCATGACAGCTCACACCTGTCTGTAACTCCAGCTCCAGGGCTTCTGACAGCCTCACTGTAGACTGTCATACCTGTTGGCAAAACACCAATGCATATAGAAACTTTTTTTTAAAAAAATGAAAAAAAAAAAGAAAATGCCCCTCCAGCTTGCCTGGAAGACCAGTGTTCTGGGGGTCTTCTCAGTTGTAGTTCCCTCTTCTCAGAAGTCCAGCTTGTGTCAAGTTGACAAAACAACAAGTCAATAAATATGACCAGGACACCACCCCAATTTTTAATTCTCATTACTCCTTTCAAATCTAGATGAGGGACATAAGGGCTACATTGTCTCAAATGTTGAAAACATTTTGAGGAGACTGAGGACCGGGCTCAGTAGGCAGCAAGCATGAGGGCCCAAATTCAGATCCCCAGAGTGGCTCTTCAAGAGCTGGATGCAGTCCTGAATCTGTAATCCTGTCACTGTTGAAATGGGAGCAGGCAGGCTGGAGTGTACATAGATAACAGAAGATACCTGTCTCAAACAAGGTAGGACATGGATTCTACAGTCAAAAGTTATCTGCTAGACCTAGCGGTGGTGGCGCACACCTTTAATCCCAGCACTCGGGAGACAGAGGCAGAAGGATCTCTGAGTTCGAGGCCAGCCTGGTCTACAGACAGAGTTCCAGGTCAGGCTCCAAATCTACACAGAGAAACCCTGTCTTGAAAAACCAAAAAAAAAAAATTGTTGTATGCTGACCACACGCAGCCATGGTCATACAACTACACACACTTCATACACATGCACCACAAATACCACACACACAAAAAGTAAAAAATATAAGCATCTCAATGTTCAAGTAATTTCTCAATAGGAGACTATAACCACAGTAGACTTCTTAGGAAGTACTATTCATACACCTTCGCTGAATCAGTCTCCCAGTCCTGGGGGAACACTCATGGTCTCGTCACAGGGCCATTAGCAGAAGTCACCACCATCTGGGTGTAATAACTGCAGGATGCTTATCCCCGTCCGTCATTCTCACACTAGAAACATTGGCTTCTTGGATCAGTACTCTACATTCAAGCTGAGGAACATGAAAGGGACAGGAAATGAGGCATGTTAGAATTAAATACATGTCCATGCGTGCACAGTCAAGGTTACCTCGGTTGTTACTGTATTAGATAAAGACCAGTTCGTCCATGGCAAGGGCCAAGTTGAAGCTCAGGACAAACGTCTCCGAATTTACCATCAGAGATGAGGCGTCAGTCCCAGACGGACAGTGGGAGGGACAGTGCCAGAGAAGTCACTCAGCACAGTAGTCTGGGGGAGTGGAAGGAAAAATGGCATTCCCGTGTTGTTTTCAGTTCCTAAGGCACTCTTCTGTGGTCCTCAAACTCTTGAAGAAATTATGCTTCAAACTTTGCTAATAAGTTTTGACTCTCCTGCCCCATGTTTTGCTCCTTCTGTCTCTGAGTTATTTCTCGCATATGACTTCTCAGTTATTTCACGTTTTTTATGAATATAGTTGCTGTTTTTTTCTTCTGCAGTTCCTTGAAGCTGGGATGGTACCTGACTCAAAACACTTGAACTATATTGTCAAGCTGTTATACCAAACACAGGCATCCCCACAAGAAATAGCTGCAGTTCTAGAAGCCAAATCAAGGTAAGATGGGAGACTTCTCAGGTTTGTCTGTGTCTTGGTGGGGACCCAGAAAGGTGAAGGCAGAGCACTTTTCAACACTGCTATCTCAGAGTGGGTTTGTCACCTGTCGTAAGCCCCTTCCTCTCTCTGTCCACAGATGACCTTAGCCTGCCTCTCCTTGGCTCCTTAGTTTAATTTTAGTGTTCACTACAGGCAAAGGAGCCTCTCTTAGCTCATGCTTTACTGCCTGCTTAATTGCACTCAATACACTTCACTGTGCATGCAAATGTCCTTCCTTTTCTCTCTGGCTCACTCCCTATTAGCCTGGTGCTCTCCTTTCTCCCTCATTCACTATGCCTGCTCAGCTTATGAGACCCCAAGTGTTTATTTAGTCTCTGACTGAGTATCCTGCCATAGGACTGGGGTCCCAACTTGGGAAAGCACTTGCCCTGGCATGTACAGGTCCTGGTTCCATCTCTAGCAAACAGGAAGTACTGCAGTATACCGATATTGACAAAGGGAAAGCAAATTTTGTTGGGGTTGGAGAGATGGTAAAATACTTGCCATATGAGTGTGAAGTCTTGTGTTCAATATCTAGCATCCACATAAAAGCTGGTCATAGATACTTGTAATCCTAGTGCTGGGGTAATGTCTGGAGTCAGCTAGACAACCAGCCTTTCTTACTTAGTGAGTTCTAGGTTTACTGAGAGATGTTAGCTCAAAAAATAAGGTGGATGGTGCTGAGCTCTTGCTTGTCCTCAGGAATTTGAACATGACTGGGGTGGTAAGAAAATGAAAAAAAGACAGACAGACAGACACAGACAGAAATATGTTAGATCGGTGGGCTGGGCTCTTTACTAAGGAAATGACAGCACACCAGAAGCTCAGCATATTTATTATATAGATTCTTGTATACAGTGGAACAGAAGGTGGATTCTTACATACAGATTAACACGGAGGCACAGTGTATGGTGTACTGCTGGATCAAGGAGGCAGGTTTAACTAATCTCAGTAGGAGTGGTCGCTATAAGGAGCAGTCTTCAGGTGTAAACTTCCACGGGGAGAAAGCTGTGCTGGACATTTTCTGCACATACTACCAACATCCACACATGGACCTGAATGAAGGTTTTGCCATTTCTCTCTGAGTCTTGACCTGAGGAAAAGGCCTTACCATTCCTCTGTGTGTCTGAGGTTCTAGGCTTCCTCTGCTCCCTGTAGGACAGAGCCTGAGGAATGATACCTGAGGTTACCCCATCCCCTCACAGTTGTTTCTTAAAAAGAAAAAGGCATAGACACAAATTGTAAATATCAGAAATGAGGAAATAAATGTGGATCCTCCCACCACTGCAAAGATTGCTGTGAATATCGGCTGTGTATGAACTCAGCAATGAAGATGAAATGAATTGATTTCTAGATCTAAATAGTTATATAAATTACAAGAAAAATGTAGTCCACAATTTTAAAACTTCTAAAAAAGGCCTCCCAGGGGCCAGATAGCCTTTCTTGAGAAGTATACTCATTATACTCATTTTAAAAAGAGGAGGCTGAGGGAATTTACACATAATTCCAGAAAATAGAAAAGGAGAGAATAATATTTATTGACCTGTATTTTTTTCTTTTTGTGGTTTATATGTTTTTGTGTGAGCCCAGGTGACCTCACTGTAGAGCCAGCACTAGACTTGAGTTCATAACCCTCCTACCTCTATCTCCCAACTGGTGGGTGTGCCACCGTGCTCAATCTATCAAGATTTTTTGAGGCAGGTATTATCCATATACAAAAAAACAAAGTGGGCCATCATGATAGAACATACCTTTAGTGACATCACTCAGGAAGCAGAGGCTGGTGGATGTCTATGAGTGTGAGGCCAGTCTGACTTGTATAATGAGTTTCAGGACAGCCAAAGCTACATAGTGAGACCCTGTCTCAAAAAATGAAAATTAAAAACCACAGTGGCTACAAGAAATCAAGAGATGCCAGGTGTGGTGTCCCAATACCTATACCCTGGCACTTGGAAATCAGAGGCAGGAGGATCAGAAATTCAAACCAATATAGCATTGTTTATATAGCAAGTTTGAGGTCAACCTGGGTTACATGAGACCCTGTCTTCAAAAGACAGAGAAACCGACTGTTGATGTGAAGCAGTTCTTCCAAAGGGCCCAAGTGAATTCCCAGCACCCACACAGCGCCTCACAGCCATCTGTAACCAAGTTCTAAGGGATCTGACTCCCTCTCTGGCCTCCAGTAGTGTCAGATGCTCACATGTACACATGCATGTAGGCAAAACATAAAAACACACATAAAAAATTTAAACCAGTACCTTTCATGAGATTAAATGTAAAAACCCTCGACAGATTAGGAGTAAAGGACAAATCCTTTAACTTGGTAAAGAGAGGTGTAACAAACCAACAGACATACTTGAATAAGATTGAAAATAAGGCACAACTCTGCCCACAGTTCCATCAAGATCATTTTCCCACACCCTCTAGCCAGGGTGATAAGAAGTGAAAATAAAAGGTGTACAGATTGAAAATAAAATAATAACCTGTACTTGTAAGTGATATGAACTACAAACCTGTGTAACAAAGAACCTACCAAAAACAGCTCTGATGAATAAAGACCAGCCCACAGATCAGCCATGCTCCTACATCACAACAGTGAGCTTAGGGACCAAAATCTAAAACACCACTGTTGACAACAGCTCAAAAAACTAAATGCTAGGTAAATAAATAAATAAATTACAGAACATACTCGGCTTGTATACTGGAAGCCATGAAATGTCAAAAGAAATTAAGTAAAAAAATATTTTTATGAAGGAGAGACTCCAAGACAATTCTCCTTAAATCCATTTATTGGTTTAATTCACTTCTAAGCTGTGATATTTGTAGATAGAAAAAAATAATTCATTCTAGCTGGACATGGTGATGCATATCTGTACTACCAGTAGGCTGATATTACTTAGAGGGCTGAAGCCACATCAGGACCTGGGACCAGCAGGTTGGCCCAGTAGCTAAAGGCACTTGCCGCCAAGTTCAATATCCAGAACGCACAGCAGAAGGGAAAACTGACTGCTGCAAGTTGTCTTCTGACCACTATGTGTGTGCTGTGGCATGGGCATGCCCACATATAAAATACACCCACAGGCATAAGCGTACAAAATAAATCAATAAATGGGTTTTGTTGTTGTTGTTTGTGTTTGTAGGGTTTTCTTGGTTGTTTTTTGGGTTTTTTGGTTTTTGGTTTTCCAAGACAGGGTTTCTCTCTATAGCCATGGCTGTCCTGGAATTTGCTTTCTAGACCAGGCTGGCTTTGAACTCATTGAAATCTGCCTACTCTGCTTCCTAAGCACTGGGATTAAAGACATATTCCACCACTACCCAGCAAATGGCTGTTTTTTGGTTGTTTTGGGCTTTTTTGAAGAATTCACCTGTAAATAATTTTTACGGTATCTTCTGTGCATTGGGTTTTCTCAGATCTTACATATATTTAAGCTGTAGAACAGAAGTGTTGGTCACTTAGGGATGAAATAAGCATAATCAGCTCTCTTCTGTCATTGCAGGTTACAAGTGAGGCAGCTGACAAAGAACTGGAAGTGTGACTTAGACTCAGCCTTGAGTGAAGTGGAGGTATGACATTTATCTTCAAAGACATTGCTGGGCTCTAAAACCAGGAACAAAATGTTTGAATGATTAGGAAACGCTTTAGAAACATCACTGTTAAGAGAAAATGCTACAAGAGAAGTCTAGTAGTTATATTTTTAAAGATTACTACTTTGAAAAGCAAACATCTGAATTTCTAGGGCTGTGGACTGAAGATGCAGCTGGACAGGAGATCATTTGCCTGCGAGGCCCTCCCCATACACACACAGTAAATAGGGTTGTGAACTATTTTGAATTAATTCTGATGGTAACTTTCATTTCAAAGTTGGCTTATATCAATCTAAAGCGTAGACTGTAATCTACTGCTGGGCAGACGCGTAGCTGTAATGCAGTGTGCATGACTGTGGTCTGAACTGATGAGAGCTAGGACCACAGTGCTCTCTCCTGACCATTAAAATAAGAAAGAGGGAGGCTAGGGAAACAGCTCAGCTGAACACCTATCACCACTGTCTCTGTCGGGCGGCTCCTTGCTACCTGCAACCTAAGCTCCATGGAATGCAACCCCTTCTCCTGGCCTCCAAGGGCACCAGCATGCATGTGTGCATACCAGTACAGAGTCGTGTACATATACATAGAATTAAAAATGAAATAGAGTCACAAAGGAGGCCTTAAAGATGGCCCTCTCATTGTTGACATAGTCTTGGTCAGCATGCTGTAACCTTGGAACAACCTTTGCACTGCCACAGAGAGTTTTTCTTAGTTTTAACAGAACATAGGAGAGTGAGTTTACTGAAATTTCCTTTGTGGGCCCCAAATCTTAAATGGCCAAATAATAGTAAAAAATGTGCTCGCTCTAGAAACAGTAAAGGAAGCAATGGGTTGCTACAGAGATGCTGGTGCACCTTGGTGACTGTGGTTCTGATGCAGTTCTGTCCTGTTGAGTCCTGGAGCATTTGAGCCATTGACTGGTTACAGCATGTTCAGTGCTGCCTGCAGTTCAGACTCTGCTGCAGGGAGAGCAGAGAACCTGAGTGTCCGTTTTCAGTTTCTAGACTGAGGCATACTGTATGCCTCCCGGTGCCTATCTGAGAGCATGTGCTTGCAGAGATGATACAATTTTTACTTTTTTTTCCCTCTTCCTCTTACTCTCCCTCCTTTCCTTCCTACCATTTTTAATAATGTCAATAGACTTGTAAAGAAAAAGGTGACTGGACCAAATTGGGAAACCTGTACATTAGCATAAAAATGGGCTGTGAAGAATTTGCAGATTTCCAGCGATTCTGTGCTTGTATTGCTGAAACGCTCACAAGAGATTATGAAGAAGAAAGGCCAGGTGTTCCTTTTTGTGAATTTGCTGAAACAGGTAAAATGTCACTTTTGTTTAGAGGACTGCATGATTCTTAACTGGAGGGTAATGCTTTCCTCAGGCAGAGGCTTAGCCAGTGCTACACATCCCAGACAGGCTGAAATTTGTAGATTTTCTGCCTGTTAATGTACATCATAATAACAAGGGCAAGAACTGGTTTTTAGTATTGAAGATTTCATAAAACATTAATGTATTTTTATTTAGGTTAGTAAAATTATTGAAAGTGATATGAGAGCACCCAAATTTTTGATACCACTGATGTTTCTAGTATCTACAAATCAAAAAATATTGTATGGCATTTAAAAATACATTCTCTTGAGGTGACGCCTCACTTTACAGCCCTGAACTGGCCTTACATTTGCGCTCTCTCTGCCCTGCCTCCCAAGTGCTAGGGTTACAGAAGTAAGCAACCACATGTGACTTGAAATGCTGTTGGTGCTGCTACCGTTGCCTCTATCAGGATGACAAAATACATATCCTAGGCTGTTCGTGCAACCCATACAGGTTGGGCTGCATGTGTTGGCGCACACCTTTAATTTCAGCACTCAGGACGCAGACGCAAGAGGATCTCTGTTGACTTTAATGCCAGCCTAGTCTACATATTGAGTTTCAGGACAGTCAGGGCTCTGTAGGGAGACTCTGTCTCACAAGACAAACCAATAATAACAAAATCCCTCTATTATCTTTAGGGCTAGATTTAGCTTGTGGGACAGTTTGCCAACACTAGGTCTTTGGAGTGATTTCAGTAATTCTGAGTCATTTTAAGTGACTGTCTCATTTCTTTCCATGTCTGCTTTATGTTTCAGTTAGCAAAGATCCACAGTTCAGTGAGGTGGATAAGACTTTGCTGGGAAGGATCGGAATAAGTGCTGTGTACTTCTATCACAGACTGCTGCTGTGGTCCAAGGTATTTTGTTGGTTTTATTTAGTGCAGAGAATCTTAGTTTGAAGATTAGGAAAAGTATCCTTCACATCAGAAATTTTCTAAGAATCACTTCAGGCACAACAGAATGGAACCTAGACTACTTACTGAATTTCTAGTTCCACATTTGTTTCCAGATGCTGAAAGGGGGTGATGGAACACCAACTGCTTTTTAGAAATATAATTATAGACAGTACATCAGAGGCTGTGCTAGAATATATTTATTTAAAAGTTTTTAATTCATAATTTACTTTGATGACTCCATAGTTGTCTTCATAATCTTGAGGGAGCTCAAAGAATTCTTTTCTATTTGTTTGTTTGTTTGTTTGTTTGTTTGCTTGCTTGTTCATTAATTCATTTATTGAGACATAGTCTACCTCTGTAGTCCTGACTGTCCTGGATTTTGGTATGTAAACCACCCTAGTCTTGAACTCCTGCCTCTGCCTTCTGAGGGCTGGGGAAAAGGCATGTGCCCACATGCTCAATCTTAAAACACCTTTCTGAAGATGAACCCAGGATGCTCATGATCATCAAGACTTACAAATCACTCCCTTGAATACTCTGAGAAGTCCTGTGCCACCCGTGTCTAACTTTCTTATTAAGTCCATTAAGCAGAGGGTCTGATGACTCAAGAATATACTGTTCTGTTTTATTTCATTTATTTATGTCTGTGTGTGTTTGTGTATATATGTGAACATATATGTATAATATGGCATGTATTTGCAATCAGAGGACAGCTTACAGAATTGGTTCTCCTCGTTCCATCATGTAATCCCAGGGATTGAACTCAGGTCCTCGGGCTTGTGAGCAGAGCCTTTACCCACAGAGCATCTCACCAGAAATACGCTGTATTTCCACGCTTTAGATTTACCTGAAGTGATAAATTGTAGACTCATTGAAGTACAAATGGAGACCATGAAAATCCAATGTTAAGGGAAGAACTGAGGATGGAATTAACAAAAAGCAACAATTAAGTATGATCACTGTCAAGTTAACTGTTAAAGCTTAGCTTTTGTTACTCTGGTCAGTTCAGAATTGAATGTCTGTACAATAACAATTAAGTAAGGTTCACTTGTATGTATATGACATTCATAGACTAAAATGAAATTTTGCACCCAGACCGGTTGAACAGAAAGTCTGTAGATTTCCAGCTCAATGCTCACTATGTGGCAGTATGGGTCCCTCTCTGCTGCAGAGTCTGGTGGAAGGCTTAGGCATGAATGAGTGCTTGCACACTGGAGCAAAAGTCTCTCTTTGACAATGTGCAGATTTAGCTAAAACTTTAGACTATTCTGATTTATTTGGTTACTATTTCTTAGGTCCTTAAAGGCCTTGGTGAATTTTTCTATGTTTTTTATTGATTTTTATTGAGCTCTACATTTTTCTCTGCTCCCCTCCCTGCTTCTCCCCTCCCACCTTCAACCCTCTCCCAAGGTCCCCATGCTCCCAATTTTCTCAGGAGATCTTGTCTGTTTCCACTTCCAATGGAGATTAGATTTATGTATGTCTCTCTAAGGGTCCTCATTGTTGTTGAGGTTCTCTGGGATTGTGATTTGTGGGCTGGTTTTCTTAACTTTATGATTGAAAACTACTTATGAATGAGTACATATGAAATTGTCTTTTGGGTCTTGGTTACCTCACTCAAAATAATGTTTTCTAGCTCCATCAACTTGCCTGCAAAACTCAAGATGTCGTTATTTGTTTAATCGACTGTGTAGTACTCCATTGTGTAAATGTACCACATTTTCCTTATCCATTCTTTGGTCAAGGGTCATGTAGGTTGTCCCCAGGTTCTGGCTATGACAAACAATGCTGCTATGAACATAGTTGAACACATGTCCTTGTACGCTTGAGCATCCTTTGGATATATACACAAATTGCTGGGTCTTGAAGGGTGTTGTTTTCTAATTTTCTGAGAAATCACCACACTGACATTCAAAGGGGCTGTACCAGCTTGCATTCCCACCAGCAATGCAGGAGTGTTCCCTTTATCCTACAACCTCTCCAGCGAAAGTTGTCATCAGTGTTTTTGATCTTGGTCATTCTTACAGGTATAAGATTTGCATTTCTCTGATGACTAAGGATGCTGAACATTTCCTTAAGTGTCATTCAGCCATTTTAGATTCCTCTGTTGAGAGTTCTCTGTTTAGGTCTGTGCTCCATTTTTTTTTATTGGATTATGTGTTCTTTTGATGACCAATTTCTTGAGTTCTTTGTATATTTTGGAGATCAGCCCTCTGTGTGATGTGGGGTTAGGGAAGATCTTTTCCCATTCTGTAAGCTGTCGTTTTGTCTTGTTGACCGTGTCCTTTGCTTTACAGAAGCTTTTCAGTTTCAAGAGAACCCATTTATTAATTGTTTCTCTCAGTATCCGTGCTGTTGGGGATATATTTGCGAAATGGTCTCCTGTGCCAATGCATTCAAGTGTACTTCCCACTTTCTCTTCTGTAAGATTCAGTGTGGCTGACTTTATGTTCAGGTCTTTGATCCATTTGGACTTGAGTTTTGTGCATGGTGATAGATATGGATCTATTTTCATTCTTACACATGTTGATATCCAGTTATGCCAGAATATGCTTTCTTTTTTCCATTTGATATTTTTTGCTTCTTCGTCAAAAACCAGGTGTTCGAAGGTATGTGGATTAATATTCAGTCTTAAATTTGTTTCCTTTGGTCTTCCTGTCAGTTTTTATGACAATACTAGGCTGTTTTCAGTTCTGTAGCTCTGTAGTAGAGTTTGAAGTCAGGGATTGTGATGCTTCCAGAAGTTCTTTTATTGTACAGGATTGTTTTGGCTATCTTGGGTTTTTTGCTTTCCCATATGAAGTTGAGTACCATTCTTTCGAGGTCTGTGAAGAATTTTGCTGGGATTTTGATGGGCATTGCATTGAATCTGTAGATTACTTTTGGTAAGATTGCCATTTTTACTATGTTAATTCTGTCTACCCAAGAGCATGGGAGATCTTTCCACTCTCTGGTGCCTTCTTCAATTTCTTTCTTCAAAGATTTAAAGTTCTTGTCATACAAGTCTTCCACTTGTTTGGTTAGAGCTACTCTGAGATATTTTATGCTATTTGTAGCTATTGTGAAGGGTGGTGTTTCTCTGATTTCTTTCTCAGCCCATTTATCATCTGTGTACAGGAGCGCTATTGATTTTTCTTTTGAGTTAATCTTGTATCCTGCTACATTACTGAAAGAGTTTGTGTTGTAAAAGTTCCTTGGTAGAATTTTTGGGGTTGCTTATGTAAAGTATCATATCATCAGCAAATGGTGAGAGTTTGACTTCTCCTTTTCCTATTTGTATCCCCTTGATCTTCTTTTGGCATCTTAGTGCTCTAGCTAGGACCTCAAGAACTATATTGAATAGATATGGAGAGAGTGGACAACCTTGTCTTGTTCCTGATTTCAGTGGAATCTCTGGGAGTTTCTTTCCATTTAGTTTGATGTTGGCTGTTGGCTTGCTGTATATTGCCTTTAATATGTTTAGATCTGTTCCTTGTTCTTCTCTCCAAGACCTTTATCATGAAGGGATGTTGTATTTTGTAAAAAAAAAAAAAAAAACTTTTTCAGCATCTCATGAGATGATCATGTGGTTTTTATTTTTCAGTTTGTTTATATGGTGAATTACGTTGACAGATTTTCGTATGTTGAACCATCCTTGCATCTCTGAGATGAAACTGACTTGACCATGGTGGGTGATGGTTCTGCTGTGTTCTAGGATTCGATTTGCCAGTATTTTATTTAGTATTTTTGCATCAATGTTCATGAGTGAGATTGGTCTGTAATTCTCTTTCTTAGTAATGTCTTTCTGTGGTTTGGATATCAGGGCAATTGTAGCCTCATAAAAAGAGTTTGGCATTGCTTTTGTTTCTATTGTGTGGAATAATTTGAGGAGTATTGATATTAGCTCTTCTTTGAAAGTCTTGTAGAATTCTGAGATGAAACCATCTGGTCTTTGCCTTTTTTTTGGTTGGGAGACTTTTGATGAGTGTTTCCATTTTTTCAGCAGTTATAGGTCTGTTTAATTTGCTTATCAAAGGCGTCCAACGTGGGCCTTGATTTAATTTTGGTAAGTGATAATTTATCCAGAAAGTTGTCTGTTTCCTTTAATTTTCCAATTTTGACAGATTCAATGCAATGCCCCTCAAAATCCCAGCAAAATTCTTTACAGACATCGAGAGAACAGTACTCAACTTCTTATGGAAAACAAAAAATCCAGGATAGCCAAAACAATCCTGTACAATAAAAGAACTTCTAGAGGTATTACAATCCCTGACTTCAGACTCTACTACAGAGCTACAGTACTGAAAACAGCCTGGTACTGGCATAAGAACAGACAGGAAGACCAATGGAACTGAATAGAAGACCCGGATATCAATCTACACATCTTCGAACACCTGATTTTTGACAAAGAAGCAAAAAATATCAAATGGAAAAAAGAAAGCATATTTAACAAGTGGTGCTGGACTCACTGGATATCAACATGTGGATGAATGAAAATGACCCATATCTATCACCATGACCGAACTCAAGTCCAAATGGATCAAAGACTTCAACATAAAACCAGCCACACTGAACCTTATAGAAGAGAAAGTGGGAAATACACTTGAACGCATTGGCACAGGGAACCACTTCCTAAATATAACCCCAACAGCACAGACACTGAGAGAAACAATTAATAAATGGGACCTCCTGAAACTGAAAAGCTTCTGTAAAGCAAAGGACATGGTCAATAAGACAAAGCAACAGCCGACAGAATGGGAAAAGATCTTCACTAATCCCACATCACACAGAGGGCTGATCTCCAAAATATACAAAGAACTCAAGAAATTGGTCATCAAAAGAACACATAATCCAATAAAAAAAATAGAGAACAGACCTAAACAGAGAACTCTCAACAGAGGAATCTAAAATGACTGAAAGACACTTAAGGAAATGTTCAGCATCCTTAGTCATCAGAGAAATGCAAATCAAAACAACTCTGAGATTCCATCTTACACCTGTAAGAATGACCAAGATCAAAAACACTGATAATAACTTTAACTGGAGAGGTTGTAGGGTAAAGGGAACACTCCTGCATTGCTGGTGGGAATGCAAGCTGGTACAGCCCCTTGAGATATCAGTGTGGCGATTTCTCAGAAAATTATGAAACCACCTTCCTCAAGATCCAGTAATACTACTTTTGGGTATATATCCAAATGATGCTCAATCATGCCACAAGGACATGTGTTCAACTATGTTCATAGCAGCATTGTTTGTCATAGCCAGAACCTGGGGACAACCTACATGACCCTTGACCAAAGAATGGATAAGGAAAATGTGGTACATTTACACAATAGAGTACTACACAGCAGAAAAAAAATAACATCTTGAGTTTTGCAGGAAAATGGATGGAGCTAGAAAACATTATTTTGAGTGAGGTAACCCAGACACAGAAAGACAATTATCACATGTACTTGCTTATCAGTGGTATTTAAACATAAAGGAAAGAAAACCAACCCACAAACCACAATCCCAGAGAACCTCAACAACAATGAGGACCCTAAGAGAGACATACATGGATCTAATCTACATGGGAAGTAGAAAGTAGAAAAAGACAAGATCTCCTGAGTAAATTGGGAACATGGACCTTGGGAGAGGGTTGAAGGTAGGAGGGGAGAGGCAGGGAGGGGAGCAGAGAAAAATGTAGAGCTCAATAAAAATCGATTTTTAGAAAAAGGTTTTGGACATAAAAAAAAAAGATAAGTTTTCAATTTTGTGGAGTACAAGTTTTCAAAATATAACCTGATGATTCTCTGTATTTTCTTCATGTCTGTTGTTATGTCCCCCTTTTCATTTCTGATTTTGTTAATTTTGATATTCTCTCTCTTTATTTTGGTTAGTTTTGATAAAGGTTTGTCTATTTTGTTGATTTTCTCAAAGAATCAACTCTTTGTCTAATTGATTCTTTGTACTGTTTTGTTTCTATTTTGTTGATTTCAGCTCTCAATTTGATTATTTCCTGCCATCTAGTTCTCTTGGGTGAGTTTGCTTCTTTTTGTTCTAAAGTTTTCAAATGTTCTGTTAATTCATTAGTGTGAATTTTTCCGGCTTCTTTATGTAGGCATTTAGTGCTATGAGCTTTCCTCTTAACACTGCTTTCATTGTGTCCCATAAATCTGGGTATGCTATGTGGTCATTTTCATTGAATTTTAGGAAGTCTTTGGTTTCTCCCTTTATTTCTTCTTTGACCCATTGATAATTCAGGTGAGCATTGTTTAATTTCGATGTGTTTGTTGGCTTTCTGGAATTAGTATTGCTGTTGAAGTCTAGTTTTAAGCCATGGTGATCTGATAAGATACATGGGGTTATTTCATTTTTTTATCTGTTGAGATTTGTTTTGTTACTGAGTATGTGATCAATTTTTGAGAAGGTTCCATGAGGTGCTGAGAAGAAGGCATATTCTTTTCTGTCTGTTAGGTCCATTTGAGTCATAACATTTGTTAGTTCCCTTATTTCTCTGTTCATTTTTTTCTGACTGACCTGTCCAGTGGTGAGAGTGGAGTGTTGAAGTCTCCCACTATTAGTGTGTGTGGTTTAATGTATGATTTAAGCATTAGAAGTGTTTCTTTCACATATAGTACCCTTGTATTTGGGGCATAGATGTTCAGTATTGAGATTTCCTCTTGATGGATTTTTCCTGTGACTAATATAAAATGTCCTTCTTTGTCTCTTTTGATTGATTTTAGTTTGAAGTCTATTTTGTTAGATATTAGGATAGCTACACCAGCTTGTTTCTCAAGTCCATTTGATTGGTATATTTTTCCCCAACCCTTTACTCTGAGACTCTGTCTGTCTTTGAGATTGAGATGTGTTTCTTGTATGCAGAAAAAGATGGATTCTGTTTTCGTATCCAATCTGTTAGCCTATGCCTTTTTATAGGTGAGTTACGTCCATTTATGTTAAGGGATATTAATGACCAGTGATTGCTATCTCCTGTTAATTTAGTTTTCTTTGTTGGTGAGGTTAGTTTGTGCATTTTTCCCTTCTTTGGGATTTGCTGCTATGAGACCATCAATTGTCTGTGTTTTTGTTGATGTAGCCAACTTTCTTGGGTTGGAGTTGTCCTTTTAGTATTTTGTGTAGGTCTGGGTTTGTGGCTAGGTATTTATTAAATCTGGTTTTGTCATGGAATATCTTGTTTTGTCCTTCTATGGTGATTGAAAGCTTTGCTGGGTATAGTAGTCTGGGCTTGCATCATCGTCTCTTGGCTTTCATTGTCTCCAATGAAAAGTCAGGTGCAATTCTGTCTACCTTTGTATGTTTCTTGGTCTTTTTCCTTTGTAGATCCTAATATTCTTTCTTTACTCTATATGTTTAGTGTTTTGATTATTATGTGTTGAGGGGACTTTTTTTGATTCAGTCTATTTAGTGTTCTGTAAGCTTTTTGTATCTTCATAGTTATATCTTTCTTTAGGTAGGGAAAGTTTTCTTCTATGATTTTGTTAATTAAATTTTCTGTGCCTTTGAGTTGAACTTCTTCTTCTATACCTATTACACTAAGATTTGACCTTTTTATGGTGTCCCGTATTTCCTGCATATTTTGTGTTAAGCTTTTGTTAGATGTAATGTTTTCTTTAACTGATGAGTCTATTTCCTCTATTGCATCTTCAGCGCTTGAGATTCTCTCTTCCATCTCTTGTATTCTGCTGTTCATGGTTGTGTTTGTAGTTCCTGATCATTTTCTCATGATTTCTTTTTCTATAATTCCCTCGGCTTGTGTTTGCTTTATTATTGCACTAAGGTTCTAAACTTGTACTACCCTAACCAACTTTTACATGGGTGCTGGGAATCAAAGCTCAAGGCCTGTGCTGCATGGCAAGCATTTACCAATTAAGCCATCTTCCCAGCCTTTTCTTTTATATGGAGATAGCTGGGGACAAACTGGGGCTTCACACATGGAAAGCAAGCACTTTGCCTTTGAGTTATACCTCCAGCACCTTATATTGTGCAATTTTAAAAATGTGTATAAGTATTTCACTTGAGTGTATGTATGTGTGCCGTGTGCACACCTGGTGCTATGGAGTCTAAAAGAGGACACCAGACCCTTAGACCTGGAGTTATAGGTGGTTATGAGTCATCATGTAGGTGCTGGAAACTGAACAGGTCTTCTGTAAGAGCAGCCAGTGTTCTCAACCGCTAAGCCATCTCTCCAGCTGTTTTTGTTCATTTGTTTGTTTGTTTTTATATTTTAAAGAGCAATGAATGAAAACAATAGCCAAAAGAATTTCAGCCACCAAATGCAGCCTTCAAAGACTAAAGTATTTACTGTTAGGGCACTGAAGAGATAGTTCAGTGGTTAAGAACAATAGCTCTTGCAGAAAACCCAAGTTCAGTGCCTAAGCATCCAAATCGGGTAGGTCACAACTTCTGTGACTCCAGCTACAGGGGTCCTGACACCCTCTCTTGGCTTCCTCTGCATCTGCATCCCTGTACACAGAGATAAGTTAAAATGAAATGAGCTTTTTCTTTAAAAAAAAAGTATTTATTAGCTGGGAATGGCGGTGCACACCTTTAATCCCAGCAGGCAGGCGGATCTCTGTGAGTTCAAGGCCAGTCTTTTCTACAAAGTGAGTTTCAGGACAGCTATAACTTAACACAAAGAAACCCTGTCTTGGGGGGGGGGAGTATTTCTTGTTGAGCTACTGACAAAGAAAGTAGACTGGCTCCTGGCTCCTTGTTTAAGATAATAGTGCACACCCAGATTCTTATGTCTAAATCAGAGACAGTCTTCATGTAGAATCTGTCATATAATTCATTTACTGAAATAATAACTATTTCCAGCTAACAATTTTGGCTTCTCATTACTAGCATTCCATCCAAATTTGGTGACAAAAAATTATCTTCATTTTCACCCACTCTCTTAGATTTCAGATAGGTCAACTGTAGAAGGAGTAAAATGTAATAATTTTTCATAGTAGCAAATGGAACCCTGTCCAAACAATGAAATTTTTGTTTTGTTTTGTTTTTGTTGAAATGGTGTCTTGCTATAAAACCCAAACTATCCTTAAAATATTTCTTACCTCAGCTTCCAAATGCTGGGCTTAACATGCATGAGTCACGCTCCCAGGTCCACAATCCTAAGGAAGACACTTAGTGCATATAATAGAAGGAGAAGGTGCATGCTCGTTCAGGGAGGAGATGCTTCTTTCTGCCTTTGTGACCAAACAGGAAAAGTTTAGGCAAATGTTCATTGCATAATATTTCAGTCTAGCATAATACTTCAATTGGTAACTGTCTTCTGTGTATTGGCACTGCCTTCCTGTCTCTCGGATACTGTAGGTCAATGATACTGAGTGTTGTTAATTTTCATTCCAGGGACGGAAGGTCTTAGATACACTGTATGAGCTAAAAATACATTTTACAAGTTTAAAAGGACTCACGGGACCTGAGAAAGTAGCACCACGATGTCAAATTGTGAATGTTGCGGTTGAAATTTTTATCAAAAGTGGGAGCCTAGATGGTGCCATTTGGGTACTGAGGGGTAAGTTCTGATATATGAATGCATAATGAGCAGTTACTCTCTTTGTAAACATTTTCTGTGTAATTACCTTAAGTTGATACCAAATTAGAGGTGTTAGCTTGGTCTGAACTTCAGTGACTATGTGGATAGGAAAAGTCACTGTGGATAAAGTGATAGAAGAAAGTGGCTTTAACTCAGCCTTGGTTGGCAAAGGTTTGTTATTGATGTGACCTAGTTGTCTTAGAAGCCCTGAGTCCTGAAATTATTACAGTTCCATTCTATAGATTAAAAAGTATAATCAGATATGTTAATCATTTGAACTAGAACATACCGAATTAAACCCAGCTAGTGCAGCTTCAGAAGGCAGGTCCAGCCACTGTAGGAAATCATGACTGTGGTTTCACAGTCCCTGTGGTCACGGGTCTAGGTGAAAAGTGCCTTCAAACCAAGATACTTACTTCCCAATTGTGATTATCCTGAGAAGGGTTATTTTCATGGTGTGTTTGTGTTTTTATTTGGGAGAATCGGAATGGATAATCAATACACCAGTTTGGCCTTGTGATAGAATGGATGTGCTTAATCGTCATAACTTGCTCTGTACCATTGCACATGAAATCCTGGGCAAGAATCTTTACAGACAAACGTTTGAGGTTTTGCGGAATCTACCAGGCTTTCAGAATTCTCAAGGTATGTTTTTTAAAATCTACTTTTATTATCTCAAAAAAAAGATTTATTTATGTTTATTTTATATGTGAGTACCTACATATATATGTGTGTATTACATACGTGTCTGGTGCCTACAAAGGCTGGAAGAGTACATTGGATCTGCCAGAACTTAGGTCACAGTCAGTTTGTGAGCAGCATGATGGATGCTGGGAACTGAACCCAGGTCCTCTATAGGAACAGAAGTCCTCTTAACTGCTGAGCCATCTCTCTAGCACAACCTTCATTGTTTGCCAGTCTCGTGCTTAGCAGCTAGTAAGGAGCTGTTGACTTACAAAATAGTTCCACAATAGCCTGAACTGGAGTATAACAAAGGTTTATTTATTTGGGGATAAACTCACAGAAGAGTAGCAATCCTCAGTCCTCTGTGTGCACTGGAAACTGGAACAGAATCCAGCAACCAAGAGGGCTGCACACACTTTGTCTGCATCTAAAGTACGTAAGACCATGCCCAAAATGGGCCAGTGTCTTAAGGACTATTGACTAAAGGAGTTCCCATAGCACCTCCCCCTTTTGTCTAAATAAGAGAGTTCTAAGCCTAATACAAAACTATATATAAGAAGAACAAATATCAAATATTATCCAGGGAAAAGAAGAGGCAAAGAAATTTGTATAAAATTTAGAATTACAACCAGCATAAACAGCATCAAACAAGAAACATATGTTAAATGTTTCAATAGTTATACTATCCTAAGAAGTCTAAGACTTATATTAAAAATGGCTTGGCTAACTCATGAGAGGAAAGTAGCTATGACTATCTAGTCTTCAACCCCGTCAAAGACCTGAGAAGGGAAATAGTACTTGAGTGAACAGCAACTTCCAAAAGGTGAAGACATGACAGAGACAGCTGGCTAGCTGGGCAATCACCCGAAGTCTTATTGGCAACCTTGAGGCAATCAACTTTGGCTAAGGTCTAGAGTATCAGACAGACCATTTTCAGAGGCAGGAAAATTTACAAAACTGTCTTACCCTGTTTTGGCACGGTTTGGCAGTCTCTTTTCTTGTATCCTGTTTGTCCAGTCTGGACACTGGACATTTTGTCAGTGGTCGAGGCAGGGGCAGTTCTTTGCTCAAAGACCATTTTTGCCAAGAAGAAAACAAGCTCCAAGTGAAGTGTCTTTGGTGCTCAACATACTCTCAGGAATAGATGGGTACTGACAGGAGAAATTATGTCTCACTTCAACAGAATCCTGAATTATTTAAATGCCTTATTCTACAGTTCTTTGAAGTGTTTGAAGATTACCTATCTATGTGGAATATAATCTCTATACACTAAAGAACCTGATTAGTCTAACTATAAGTGTGACAAACATGGATGACTATTGACCTATAATTCTTAATACCTATATAGCTTAAACGCCAAGGCTTCATATTTTAAAATTAAACAATCTTTAAACAAATGTGCAGCAAATGAGGACAGTGACCTCAAAATGTAAACATGTAAAAAAATGTAAACATGTGTAAGTATCTTGATCAGAGGTAGAAATTTATAGTGCATTATGATAAATATATCCTAAAATTGTATCACTATACAAACTATCTTAAGCAGAGGTAGAAGCATGCATGCATACAATATGATGAAATAACTTTGCATAGGTGTACAAATATTGTAAACAGAAATAGAAGCATATTCAATATAACAAATATAATTTGAATTTGTATCAATATACAAGAATCTGTACCAGTATAAATTATCTATAAATAATAGCTCATAGTAATCTCACTATTCCTCACTATTATTAGTGTGAGTAAGCTAATTAGTGTAAGTAAGCTCACACTAATCTACCTATTATCCCATCCCATCCATTTTCCCCTTTTTTTCAAGAGAGATCTCTGAACCTACTTTGTCTCTACCCCCAACAGTATATTACTTGCAACCCACCCCTAATAATGTCCCTAGCCCTGAGAACAAACTTTGTTGGGAGAGGGGACATTGTTTTCTAGGATTACTTCCAGCTGTCATGGGGGCGATGTTAATGGGATCCTGTAAAAACTAACATGATGAAATGATGGTTAACTTTCAAGATCACCGTCTGGTATAATTACAGATAGTCTCTGAGTAGTCAGTAGGGTTTTTCTGAAGTTCCTATTTGAAATTCTAGCCAGAACGTTGTAAGAAGGTGCACCATCTAGCTAGCCAAGTTGGAATCATCTTGAGCAACTTGTAACCCAAAACCAATCTTAAAGTGGTGTTGTCAGCATCATGACATCATATCAGATCAGCCAGGTGGAATCATTGTTGTGGGGCCCCATCTTCTTCCTGGAAACTTCAAAGGTTATTACAGGAAAATTTATTGTCTTTGTAGAAAACTTAAACATTACTCAATGAAAGGTACCATAGAGACAAAAAGATCTCACCCTGCAGAGGGTATTGGTATCATAAGTCAGATTTCTCTTTGCTTGGTGATTCTTTCTGGATAGTTATCTTTTCTTCTTTAGGCAACTAGATGTCCAAGGTCTCTTGACTTTTTGAAGATAGGTATTTTCCTGCAAAGATAAGAAAAGAACCCTGCCCCAATCCTTATGAGGTTTCCTCACAACCTGTACAATTGTCACCTCTGTGGATAAGCCGACATTTCTCTTTATTCAGAGGTTTCTCCTTTTCAAACCGAATCTTTATTCATTTTGATGGTATCCATAGCTTTTCTTCTCCTGTGGAAACAAGAGCAAAACCCCTTTCCCAACGTAGCACATCTCCTGGTTTCCAATCTGCGGTAAACACATCCTTGAAATACACCAGTTAATTTAATTCAGAAGTTTTTTTTTTCTATTATCCAATGTCTCTCTGCTTCCATTGTTCCTTTATCATTAGTATTAAGAAAAGTAAAAGTTAACAAAGCATTATGCAGTCTATTTCTGAGAGTATTTTTTATTCCTTTCTGTTTGTTTAACATATGCTTTATAGTTCAGTTTGATCTTTCTCTAACTGCCTGACCTGTAGGATTGTGTGGTATACCTGTGATATGCTTTGTATTATAATAAGCAAAAAAATGTTTCATTTTCTTAGAGACATATGCTGGACCATTGTCTAGTTTTATTTGTACAGGTATACTCTACACAACTGGCCATAACTTCTATAAAATGTGTGATTACCGAATCTCCTTTTCTGAACTCAAAGCAGTTGCACATTGAAAACTTAAATAGGTGTCAGTGGTGTGGTTGGTGTACATATTTTAATTTTCCAATTTCTACAAAGTGGAACACATCCATGTACCAGGTTTCATTCCTTTGAGTACCCTTTGGGTTACTTCTTGCAGGCAGTGTTGTTTGGTTATATGAAGAACAAGTAGAACATGTCCTTATAATCTCCTTAATTTGTTGCCATGTAATAGAAAAGGCCTTTTTAAACCTTTACTATTGACATAGTGTTTTTTGTGAAATTCTGAGGCCTTCAGCAGATTTCCAGTCAATATCAATTTCTGCATTACCTTGTGCTAGAGGACCTGGTAAGCACATATGGGATCAGATTGTGTTGTGTATATGGAACAGGACCTATTCTTGATTTTATCTTGAACCTGAACAAATAATGAAGTCAATTCTGTATCATCTGATATAAATTCAGTGGTTTCAATGTGCAAAACAACTCTTTCTGCATATTGTGAATCAGTGACTATGCTGAGAGGTTCTTTAAAATCGCTTAGTACCATGAGAATAGCAGATAATTCTGACTTTTGGACAGAATCCTAAAGGCTTTGTTCCCCCTTACTTTAATCTTCTGATCTGTAACCTGCCTTTCCTGACATATTTGCATCAGTACAGATGTATGGGCTCCAGTTATTGGTGTGGCACGTACAGTGCGAGGAAGGATCCAGTTAGCTCTCTTTATAAGGTTAGTTCTGTCGCTTTGGGGATAGTTGTTAATTTTTTAAATTGATTTTTATTGAGCTCTACATTTTTTTTCTGCTCTGCTCCCTGTGTCTCCCCTCCCCTTCAACCCTCTTCCCAAGGTCCATGTTCCAAATTTACTCAGGAGATCTTGTCTTTTTCTACTTCTCATGTAGATTAGACCTATGTATGTCTCTCTTAGGGTCCTTATTGTGGTTTAGGTTCTCTGGGATTGTGATTTGTGGGCTGATTTTCTTTCCTTTATGTTTAAAAACCACTTATGAGTGAGTACATGTGATAGTTATCTTTCTGAGTTGGGTTACCTCACTTAAAATAATGTTTTCTAGCTCCATCCAATTGCCTGCAAAATTCAAGATGTTGGTTTTTTGTTTCTACTGTGTAGTACTCTGGTCCTGGGCTTTTTTTGGTTGGGAAACTTTTGATGACTGTTTCTATTTCTTCAGCAGTTATAGGTCTGTTTAATTTGCTTATCTGGCCTTGATTTAATTTTTGTAAGTATTATTTATCCTGAAAGTTGCTCATTTCCTTTAAGTTTTCCAATTTTGTGGAGTACAGGTTTTTGAAATATGACCTGATGTTTCTCTGTATTTTCTCTGTGTCTGTTGTTATGTCCCCCTTTTCATTTCTGATTTTGTTAATTTTGATAGTTTATCTCTGCATTTTGTTTAGTTTTAATAAAGGTTTGTCTATTTTGTTGATTTTCTCGAAGAATCAACTCTTTGTCTCATTGATTCTTTGTATTGTTTCTTTGTTTCTATTCTGTTAATTTCAGCTCTCAATTTGATTATTTCCTGCCATTTAGTTCTCTTGGGTGAGTTTGCTTTTTTTTTGTTCCAAAGTTTTCAAATGTTCTGTTAATTCATTAGTGTGGATTTTTCCGGCTTCTTTATGTAGGCATTTAGTGCTATGAACTTTCCTCTTAACACTGTTTTCGTTGTGTCCCATAAATTTGAGTATGTTATGTGGTCATTTTAATTAAATTTTAGAAAGTCTTTAGTTTCTCCCTTTATTTCTTCCTTGATCCATTGATGATTTAGGTGAGCATTGTTTAATTTCGATGTGTTTGTGGGTTTTCTGGAATTAGTTTTGCTGTTGAAGTCTAGTTTTGAGCCATGGTA